GGGGGGGGAGATACTCTGCTGGACAGCTTGTGCTGCCCGCAATGTGGGAGGCCTTCATATTCCCTTGGGGAGAGAAAATGACCTCAGAAGAATATTCTGGATAAACACGTGTCAGATTATAGCATAATCTGCATGTGCTATGGCCTATAAATCACCCTCTGTCTTTTAGATGAGCCATTCGGACAGACAATCGATAAAAACATCCACACTGCTGTAGTCAGAAGTGTTCATTTTAAGCTGAATCACTTATAAAAGTCTCCCAGACAATTAAAGGCCATGAATTAAGTTGGAAAAGATCTTTGTAACATCCTACTTTTCCATACACTCTGTTGCTCAAATGAGTCCAGAGAAAGGAAACCATTACTTAAGTTAACAAGATAATTGCATGCGATTAAAAAGCCTGTCTGCACACTTTCTGAAAAGCAGGTTTTTTCTGACCCCTTTCCAAAAAAAGTAAATTAAAGGCGATTTCTGTCCAAGTAACAATAAGGAACATCTTGTTTGTTCTTAGGACAAGAAAAAATGCATTAGCTATTGGCAGTAAAGGAGGTAGGTGCCCATGAAAGTGCTGATCTCAGCTTTGGGGGTGAGCATAGGGCACTGAGTGTAGGTGGCAGGGTTGATTTTTAAAAAGCCTTTGTCCTGAACATCCGTTAGAAACAGAGCCAGGTTCAGGGGTGGAATGGTCACAAGGTGCCACGCTCCTCCTGGAGTCTAAATATCCATGGGGGGGGCAGTTAAAACCTTCAGTGGGGGTGTCTGCATACTGCTTCTGGCAGATGTCCAGCTCTGTGGCCAGAATACAGTCCATCTTTTCACTGTTTCCTCTCTCGTTTCCGCTGCACTGCTGGGTACTGCCTGTAACTAGTACTTTGTTTGCTGCAACCTGCTGAGGTATGAAGTCCAACAGAAGATAACAGACTTAACCTGTAGCTGGCAGTCAGTCTGCATAACAGACCCGATGCAGACCTCCACCGGTGCTCCTTGCCACCATTCAGACCTGACAGCTGTTTGGGGCCCCTGGGGGATGGGGGGCCCCTGGTGTCCACTAGACTAAATATTAAGTAATTGTGTTCTTCATTGAGGAGATGCTGATGCAGAATGTCCTGCTAACTGAAAGCTCATGGGGGGTGACTTTTTAAGCAGAACCCTAGGAAGCACGAGGTTTCTGAGAGGCCGCCGTGGCCGTGATGTCCTGAGACGAGACACACGCTCTCTTAGGGGTCACTGGGGGATGTGAAGAGCCCATGTATCTTAGACCCCACCCCCAGCATCCGAGCTCCACTCAGGAAACCATGCTCATCCCTCATTATGTCATCTGGAGAACATCCTGCTCTCCTCATGCCGAATTCGCCACAGAGGGGACGAGAACCGACATGGGTTCATCCGCCACATCCTCCCCTGCCGTGACACCCTTGTGTTCCTCTGCCCACAGGTGCTCACATCCAGTTCCTGAACTTCTCCTCGGAGGACAACCATGACTTCCTGGAGGTGCGCAATGGGCCACAGCACATGAGCTCCCTGATTGGACAGTTCAGCGGCAGCCAGCTCCCGCCCCAGCTGCTGAGTACTACCCACGAGACCGTGATCCACTTCTACACTGATCATTCAGAGAACCGGCCAGGCTTCAAGCTTCTCTATCAAGGTGAAAATGAGCTCAGCCGCTGCCTGCTGAACATCTTGACTCTCCTGACAGAGGTCCGTGTTGGATGTCCGCTGACTGACAAACATCACTCACCCTGCCGGTTTAATATGGACATATTCTGCTGGGCATGGGCTCTGTTTCACTTCTGCATCATTTTAGCAATAAACTGTATTTAATGACGTCCTCCATCTGAAGGGCCCTCAGAAAGAGGCTCCTAAGGTCCTCCACAGGAGAGACCTAGACGCAGTGCTGTGTCCCCTGGCTGAAGCCGTGCTAAAATTAGCAATTGCTCTATTAAATCAAAATACTTTAAGACAAAACAATTTCCCATAGAAAGTGAATGTATGGGAAATGGCATAATGAAGCATCACAGCAGGTTCGCGTGGCCCCCATGTGTCCTGCAGCAGCGGTGAGGAATGGTCCCTACTCTCTGACATCAGACATCAATGTCCTTCCCCCTCAGCATATGAGCTGCAGAACTGCCAGGACCCCGGCCCCTTCCCCAACGGCCACATCATCGGCGAGGCCTACAGCGCCGGCCAGTCCATCACCTTCGAATGCCTCCCCGGATACGTCCTACTTGGGCACTCGGTGCTCACCTGCCAGCATGGCACCAACAGGAAGTGGAACCACCCTTTCCCCCGCTGCGTAGGTAAGCAAGCGGAAGGGTCCAGGCGGGGCAGGAGCATGTTACGGGGGTGGGGTGCAGCTGCCCATAGAAAGGTATCCAGAAATTCAGAAAGCTTCAATTTTTTTATTTTATTTGTATACCACATACAACATTACATTGTCTCAAAGCACTTTACAGTATCCCCACCCAAAACCCCCAGTGAGCAATCCAGAGGAGACAGTGGCAAGGAAACCTCCATAGAAGGGAGAAACCTTGGGAGGGACCAGACTCAAAGGGGGAGCCCCTCCTCCAGGGGGCAGCAGAGGAAGTCAAATGAACAAGATGGCAAAGTTCTAATTTACACTGTTCCAATTTTAAGATTAGAGTCTCAAAAACTGCTCAGGGTCGGGGTTTTCCAAAACATGATGGGGGTTTACAGGCTTTCTCGGACCCTCGCTGGTCTGTCGCTTGTGTCATTGTGGGGCGATATAACCAGCCAGCATAGTCCAATAATGGAGTAACAAGCACTGCAGACCGCTGTACCAATGAAAAGCCATCTGTCTGTGCATGCCGAGGTCATTAATTTGCACAGAATAAGGCACTGGGGATGTGTCTCCATCACAGTAAAGAGCCCGGTGCAGTGTGCACGCTTTAGCTGCATAGCCCTTTGATTAGTGGCTTGGGCGACGTTCATGGACGGCTTTAGTAAATCAGCATGCACCATTTTTATTAAATTTAAGCAAAATCTGTTAATCAACTCTTCCCTATTTATTCTTGGCTGGGCAGCGACCAGTGTGTTATGAGATAGTTATAATCAGCATATTCAATATGAGCTGCCAGGGCAGCCCCTTCCAGGGGACACTTGATGGTTCATAATGTTATCAGATTTGGGGAGAATTAATGAACGATCGGGCAAAATTATACAAACTGCGGATCATGGGACTGTTCAGCTGGTCAGCCTTAGTCTGGCAGCAGGGGAACGTAAAGCATATAATGGGAATGACTAGGGGGCAGAGAAGGGCCGTCTTTCTGGATCATTCTGGGTCTCCTGGGTAAATATTCATTGGTTCTGCTGGTTTCTGTCCGGATAGGTTGGCGCCAGTTGTGTCTTTGCTGTGTGAATATGAGCACACCACTCTGATCTGATCTGCCAGGCCAGAGAAAAGCGCCTCTTCGCAAATTCACCTGTGTTTTTTCATTCCTGTTTTGTTACCCTTCCAGCCCCTTGTGGCTACAATGTCACAGAACAGAATGGTACAATATACTCACCGGAGTACCCCAATGAGTATCCCAACTCCCAGGACTGCACATGGATTGTCACTGTGCCGCATGGGCACGGCATCTACATCAACTTCACGCTCCTCCAAACGGAGCCCGTCACTGACTACATTGCCGTGTGGTGAGCACTTCTCCACCCCCATACCCCAAAGACAGAAGGTTAAGGAGTTGTAGAAGGCAGGTAGTGTAGAACGTAGGGGGAGGTATAAAAGGCAGGAGGAGGTGATGAAGGTAGGGGGAGGTATAAAAGGCAGGAGGATGTGTAGAAGGTAGGGAGAGGTGTTTAAGGCACGAGGAGGTGTAGAAGGCAGAAGGATAAGTAGGGGGAGGTATAGAAGGCAGAAGGAGGTGCAGAAGGCAGCGGGAGGTGTCGAAGGCACAAGGAGGTGTAGAAAGCAGGGGGAGGTGTAAAAGGCAGGGGAAGGTGTAGAAGATGGAGAGGCGTAGGAGGCAGAAGGAGGTATACAAGGCAGGAAGAAGTGTAGAAAACTGGGGGAGGTGTAGAAGCAGAAAGAGGTGTAGGTGATGGGGAGGTGTATAGGGCAGGAGGATGTGTAGAAAGCTGGAGGAGGTGTAGAACTGCATATAAATCTCCCAGTATATTAAAGGATGAGAAGGCAATGCAGGCAGTAATCACACTATCATGGGCTGTCTGCCTGAGAAGTGTCCATTTTCACCGTCTGCAGAATAATAATTAAAGCTCACATCCGAAAGCGTACTCTGTGCTAGATTTGAGTCCATTTGACATGAAAGGTAAGTTAACACACACAGACACACTGGCACTCTAGGTGTGTGTTACAGCAGCGTGTAAACACTGCACGTGACTCCATCCCCCCCCCCCATGTCTGCCTGTCATTCAGGGACGGCCCAGAACAGCACTACCCCCAGCTAGGTGTCTTCAGTGGTAACACCGCCCTGGAGTCGGCCTACAGCTCCTACAACCAGGTGCTCATCAAGTTCCACAGCGACTTCTCTACCAGTGGCTTCTTCATCCTCAATTTCCATGGTCAGTCCGCTCCCCGTTCCCCCAGCCTCGTGCTTACGAGTGCAGAAGTGTATCATAGACTTTCAAAACACTCACAAACACTGGATGTATCCCTGAGGGGCTTGGGAATTCAGAAGATGCTCAATCGTTTTCCTGTCATTAACTCCCCACAAAGCTGTTGGTGTTTTTTAAGCCTGGGATAAATGTGTGAGGCATTCTTAAATTACCTGAAGGAGTGTTAGCTGTATCGCATCTTCTGCAAGCGCTGCAAGTTTCATGAGTAGGTCTGGATGGAATCGCAGGTATTGTCACCATTCAAAGTCCACCATCTCTGCATCCATCTCCCCAAAGTGCCTATTAGAAACTTCCAGTTTAGCCTATAATGACCTATAATGGTTAGGGAATTGGGTTCGATGTGTTCGGTGGGTGGGGATACCGTGCCAGTGAGCCCTCAGCTAACTGCTGGAACACCATGTAGCCTGTTGCCCGATTCATCTTCTACATTGCCAAGCTGAAAGTAATCACCCCTATCCCACATTGGCAGGCAGGGGGCAGCGGTGTGCCGTCATGCAGGCCAGAATGCACTGTCATTATAGCTGTATGTGTGGTCATCTCTGTGCCGGGCTTATGATCATAATATTAATTTTGGTAATTAAAACCAAAACCATGCTTCTGAGGTGAACATGGTTATTTGTGATGATTGAATATGCTATTTTTAAATAAACAATAAAGGTTAGTTATGGAAAATACAATTCATCATCAAGTTTGGCAGTTTTAAGAGATCAGATCTGGATTCATTTTTGAATTGTGTCTCTCAGGAGTCCAACCTTTTCTTGTGGAACTTTTAAAGGATGTTTTATTCTGTCTATCCCCCCTCCCCCCCATCAGCCTATTCCCTTAAAAAATGCCCGCCGCCTCCAGTGGTCGAAGACGCCGAATTAGTGGCAGAGGACCAGGATTACGAAATAGGTACGTGCATCAGAGGGAGGCGCTAGCAAGCTCGACAGACAGATCTTATCTGATTTGCTTTGTAGGTGAGATTTTTAAAACGGCCTGTGAGACATGATTGGAGTAAAAGTTAAAATGACGCTGCCTCAGTAGACTTGCCTTTCCATCATGTCCTGCATGGCCCGTAATCTCAGCAGAGCACAGAGTGTAGTGAGGTGTGTTATCTGACCGCATTCAACGCCTTTCAGGAGACACAGTGCAGTACCGCTGTCTGCCTGGCTTCACGCTCGTGGGGAGCAATGAACTGACCTGCAAGCTCAACTCGCACCTGCAGTTCGAGGGCCCAGCACCATCCTGTGAGGGTGAGTCTGCCAGCCCGCCACGCTGGTCAGCACTTTCCTTGTGGGGGTGAGGGAGGGGCTGTTTCAACCAGCCTCTGCCCGAAACCTAGCCAGTTCTTAAGAACGGCCCATTTTACTAATAATGACTGAAAGGTGCTAATTGTGATGCAATTTTACATTCCAGGGTTCACAAACTGTTAAGAGACATACACTCTGAGCAGATTAATTGGCAGTTCAGTACTATCTGGGTAAAATCCAGAAAGAGGAGCACTTCCAGCAGAGGAGGGGAGGTATACAGCTTCATCCATGCAGGCCTCGATTAAAGCAGAGAACAGAAATGTGCCCGAATACAGGACGCCATCCGGAGGGTGATAATGAGCCAGTGTGTGTGTGTGAGCCACAGTGATTAGCGGACTTTGCTTCGATGCAGTGATTACACCAAATGATGCGGAAAATGAGGACTGGCTTGTATGGTCTTCATACTGCGAAGTATCTTTTGGTGTTAAAATACAGTCTGTGCCTTTGGAGATACAGCACGGAGAACAGTGAGGGCTCACAATGTGGATGAGAGATTTACACACCCAACATACACTCTCATATTTAAAGCAATGCCTCTAGGATTTCTGGTAGCTCTTGTGTCTCGTTTATGGCTCCCCAGCCCAGTGCCCAGCCAATGAGGAGAGGACTGAGTCTTCAGGTGTGATCCTAAGTCCAGGATACCCCAAGAACTATCCCAATTCCCAGACCTGCTCCTGGATCATCAAAGTCAAGCCGTCTTATACCATCTCCATCTATGTTGAGATGTTCCAGAGCGAAAAGCAGTTTGATGAGCTGGAGATCTTTGATGGTAACATCCTCTGCTGCGAGACATCACTGTTTCTCCCTCTGGAAGGTTCCAGGTCTGATTGTCTTTGCCCGTCAGGTCCCTCTGGGCAGAACCCGCTGCTGGTGGCACTCAGTGGGAACCACTCCTCCCAGCTGAACTTCACGAGCAAGACCCACCAGCTGTACCTCAGGTGGTCCACCGACCACGCCACGAGCAAGCGCGGCTTCAAGATACGCTATACCGGTGTGTACCCCGCCTTGTCATGTGACTGCACTCTATAACTCATAAACAAAGGTGGTACATGTACCAACTCTCTAAAAGTCTGGGGACCTGCTGAATCCTGCATCGGGAGAGTTACCAGCCACTCTGTACCAGTTTCTGAATATTTTCAGCGCTGCCTTGCAAGATCCAGATACGATGAGTGGCATGTAAAAGTGGCTGTTTCCTAACGCAGCCCATGTCAGTCCTGGGTCCGCACATGCAGGGGGCTTCTCTCATGTCTTCCTGTAATAGATGAGTCTTCCTGAGAGACTCTCCTGCGCTGAACCCACTGTCTGCCATCTTCAGGCTTTCCTGCTGCCCTCTTCCTTTCCCTTTCTTCCTCCTTCACTTCCCTTCTTTCTTTGCAGTCATATTTGTAAGCCCTGCCGGACCACGGTGTGCTTTAGTGCCCTTTAAATAATGCAGACCTCTGCAGCTCTGGCATATCACAGACCTGTGAATCGGCTCTGGGGAATAACCCTCCCATCCAGCCACAGGGACTTTTTGTTCACTTTTAAACAGATGGCTTTAGTCTTTGGACTAAACGGGGATGAATACGCCATCTTAGGTTTAAAGACCAAGTCTAATCACTCAGCAGGTGTGTCACCAGTGTCAGTTAAGTGTTGGTACTTGTCTGCTTGTGGATTAAACTCGAGATGTTCCCAAGGAGGATGCAGACCCCCTCCCCCCCTCCATTCCTCTAGGGCCCCTGATCACAGCGCGTCACGCCCCCTTTATACCACTGCGTTGCATTCACAGGCACAAGTTCAAATTGCACTCTGTAAAGTCATGTGACACCTGCTCATTCTTCCTGTTTCCTGTGCCTTGCTTCCTGTATGTTCCGTGGGGACAGCCGCGTACTGCAGCGCCGGTGCCACGCCCACAAACGGCGCCATCCTCAACAGGACGGGGGAACACACAGGCACCCAGCTGCAGTATTCCTGCGATGCCGGTTACCGGGCCGTGGGCCAGAGTAACGCCACCTGTAGGATGCTGCTCAACGGGCTCTACGGCTGGAGTGCCCCGCCCCCGCTCTGCCAAGGTAACGCTGCGCCAGGTGCTGCCGACAATGTCATGGGTTGAACGTTACTCTAAACAGCGTTGACCGCAGACCAGCCCATTCACATTATACACTGTATACTTATTTAGCAGAGACTTTACCCAAAGCAGTTTATGAAACAGAAAGGTCCAGCAGACACTGGAGCAGTCAGGGATTAAGGGCCTTGCTCAACGGCCAGACCACATCACTGTGCCGACCACAGGACTTGAACCGGCGACCTTCCATTAACGGGCACATCGCCCCAGCCTGCCAAGTCATACACAGGCTCAGTCTGTATGGATTTCTGTGTAGTAAATATGGGCATGTACAAATCCCACGCCGGGGTGCCATCACACTTAGCGAAGGTCAACCACTTGGCCGCATTTCACTGACTGAGCCTCGCTACATGTGTAAACTGCTCTTCAACGCCCCCTGGTGTGGGCCGCACTCTTCTCGCAAAGGCAACACGCTATTTACTCAGTTTTGTTTGTACAAATAATCCGTTCATTACCCCTGACTGCCGCTGAGTTGTTCTGTTTCATTGGCTGCGGTGTCCATCTCAGAGCACATTACTCACACACACATATCCATCCGTGTGAAGACATGGAACATCGTGTCTGACTGGCAGACACTGGAAATGCAGAAATAATTTAAGGCTGCACTCCCACGACTCTAAGATCCAGAGGCAGAAATCAGGACCTACGAGGTCATGAGGTCTGGATGGGCTGAGCCTGATCCCTGCCCACTCAGGGGGTTCCTTTCCAATGTATGTCCCATTAGACACAGTGTAAAACACAGGAACATTACTGAGTATTTAAAAGGGCTGTTTATTGTCCAAACCACCACTGATTAACACACCTGCCAGGAGGCGGAGTGAAAGAGAGGTCCGATCTTTACCGGGCTTTGCAGAAAGTGCCGGATCCTAACATGAATGTATTGAAAAAATTAGCATTATTAGTGAAACCTGTCCTAATGAGATGTCATTTCTGTCACCAGTGTCAGTTAAGCACTGAAGGGCCCTCTCTGAGGTTTAAGTGTGAGCCAGTGGCCCGGAGCACGCAGACCAGCCCACAGTGCTTCTGCATTTACGTCACAGCCGATATCCGACTACTTGACTGCTCCCGGGTTGCCATAAACGTGCCCCTGTGGACCATGAGAGCTTTTGCCAGATATTAAGCATTAATATTACAGCCTGTCAGTATTATTCCAAGGTTGGGGGGTGTAATGTGGTCCTGCTGGATGGTGCAGCGACTCGATTCCCAGTCCGGCCTTCCAAAGGGCCATGGAAGCAATTTCACTGAGTCTCCAAACAGGCGTGAGGTCAGGGGGCCCCAGCTGTCAGACAGCAGAGCGTTAGTCACCTGGCAGATGCTGCCAGTCAACACCCTACCTGTGGCCCTTCACACGCCGCAGCGACGGCAAACACGGCCATCCTCCTCTCCCTATGAGTGAATCCCCACAGTAATTACTTACGAATGTGTTCAACAAGAGGGGATGTAGGTAGAACATTCCGGTGCTTCTTGGTGACCTTTAAAGATGACTTCTCCACCAGGTGTCAGCTGTTTAGTTTAACATCAAATGCAGCAGCTCATCCGAGTAAGTGCCATGGATTTCCATTGTTACGGCACTGGGGACATCTTTGAATGGGCCTGAAGCTCCCCTTTGAGCACCAGAGCTGGTTAAAGTGTCGCCTGGTTGTGACGTGGCTGCTCATCTGATTAAGTGTCATGGATTTCCAGAGTCATGGCACTGGGAACCTCTTTGACTGGGCCTGGGCTTGAAGCTCCCCTTTAAGCACCAGAGCTGGTTAGAATGTCATCAGGTCGTGTCGTTATGTGAACGGCCTTCCTTGTTGAAAAAAAACAGCTTCAACAGCTGAAGTTGGTTAAGCTGGTTGACCAATTTATGGTAGTTGGACAGCTTACGGTATGTTTTCGCATGATGGTTTGAAGGTTTAGCTGGTAATACCTGCTTATGATGGTCATTCTAACTGGTTTAACTGGTCACACCAGCATGACCAGCTTGATAGGCTGACATGACTAAATAGTGACCCACTCAGCTAAACCATCAAAGACCAGCAAGAACTGCCACATGCCCATCTAAAGGTGGTGATATACTGGGCAAATTTTTGAGCAATGTTGCCTGGAAATGTTGCCAGCAGCGGGCAACCAGCTGAGACACAGAGCAGCTAATCAAGGCAACGGAGACTTGGCAACAACCAGTTAGCAAATCTAGAGTAAATGTATGGCCGAGGAGACAGACACCGACAAGATGGGCGATGAAAGTTTTGTAGCTGCCATTCTTGTTTTGGCTTCAACATCTACTTTACTTAAGCATCAGAGCTTCAAAAAATTGAATAGACTCTGGTCAAATGATAATTTGTCATCGTTGCCCTAGAATAAAAATGAAAATCTGCCTTTACGTCGCCTTGAAGAGGGAGAGTTCGGTACATGGAGCTGACATACCATGAATCTTTAACACTGTTAAAGTCCTAAATCCTACATATGTTAAAGAAGGTGGTAAAACAGGCTGATTCAAATCCTGAACTGTTACATAACTTATTTTAAAAATCAATGAACTTATTGAAAGTGAATTCATGAGGCACAGTAGTGTTCAAAATGAGTGACATTTTGTAATTTACAAAGTTACTGTGTATTCAAATTTGAAGTTATCCTACCATGAAAGGAAGAGAAACATTTCAATAATGGCCGCATTTCAATAATACCTTAGTGAACAACATCCCACATCACAAAACAAAGGTTGTAGCTCCCTGGTTGGTGTAAGCACAATCCAGACACATGCCCTTGTTTATAGGAGTCAAAGTGACCATTTTTCCGTGTTTTTTGAGCCAGTAACGACCGTCGGATTACCGTGTCATTATCACATGAATAGTGTTATTTGCAAGTGGACGGGCGAGTGGATTAGCGCTGCTTCCTGACTCATTCACTCTTGTTCTTTTTATTTCCCTCAACAAAGGCTCTAAAAATATATTTAGTTAGTACCTAAATATATTTGGGAGTGTTTTATGTTTCTAGGACAAAACTAATTTGTAAAACAGTTTGAAAAGATTTCAGTTGTATCTGGTTTGCGGCATTGCCAACATCATAGGGTTAAAAAATATTATGTCTAAATTATAGCCTGAACACATAAAATTGGACGTCCTTTGGCATTTTAAAGATTAAATGAGATAGATTCCCTGTTTTGGGTTTACACATGACAACTTCCATCCATCCATCCATCTATTTTCTGAAATCACTTATCCTAGAGCATGTGGGCACAAAGCAGGGAACAACTCAGGATGGTGTGCCAACCCATCACAGGGCACATTCACACAGACACACACACCTACAGGCAAGTTGGTAACAAATTAGCCTCAGCATGTTTTGGGGCTGTGGGGGGTAACCGGAGAACCTGGAGGAAACCCCACGATGACACGGGAAGAACATGCAAACTCCACACACATGGAGCCCAGGTCAGGTGTCAGGCGACAGTACTTCACCACCATGCCGCCCACATGACAACTTACTGGGATGAAATAATATAAGGACATGCTAAATGCTCCACTTTCGCTGTGAGACCGCCATTTTTGTTGAATTTTTCCGAAGCTTCAAATCTGTCACATGCTAGTATTCTGATCGGAAGATCTCAGAAAATTGTCCACAGAGATCACAATTGTCCAGATGGAAACTTGTTGCCCATTCTAATTGGGAAAGTGCCTGAACAGCATTGCTGAAAAAGTCACCATCTTCTTAAGACCATCTTTGACATCTTAGATTTCTTTCCCTCTCAGCTAAACCCAGCTAAATCCAGCCATTAGTATAAGTTGGTTGTTTCAGCAGTGATTTGTCTTTTAATTAATTAAATTACTGGCTTGACTGTCATTTGTGACTAATCTGGACCTTAAATTTCACAAAAATTACAGACCTCTGGTGGATCTTCCATAGAAATTCACAAAATATGGGATAAGAAAGAGTAGAACTACAGCTTACAGTACAACACCACAACATAGCATACCACTGTAATGCAGAGTGACACAGTGTAATGTAGTGTAATGCAGTGTGACTGTGTAACAGTGTAACACTATGTAATGTATCATAATGGAGTGTAACACAGTCTAACAGTCTAATATATAATGTAACAGTGTAATGCAATGTAACACAGGATAATAGCTTAAGGCAGTTTAATGTAGTGTGACACAGCACAATGTGGTGTAATGTGGCATAACAGTGTAATGCAGTGTTGCACAATGTAACAGCCTAACATGATGTAATACAGTGTAAAACAGAGTAACGCAAAATAACACAGCATAAAGCAGAGTAAAAGTGTAACGAAGCATAATGCAGTGTAACATGGTGTAATACAGTGCAACAGTGTGGCATCATAATTTAGTGTAACAGAGTAACATGGTGTAACACAGTATAACTGCATAGCATAACACAACTTAACTCAGTGTAATGCGGAGTAACACAGCATACCAAGGTGGATAGTTCAGGTTCAGAAAATAAAAATCCAGACCAAGATTTTGTTGCAACCCACCAGTTGAGTATTCTGTGACTATGACTCTTTATACTCAACTGTTAGTTGAAACAAAATCTTGGTCTGGATTTTTATTCTCTGAACCTGAACTACCCACCTCTGACAGTTTAACGCACTACACGCTCACCTTGCCTGACTGAAGCCACTTCATCCCTGCAGCCATCTCATGTGGCGTTCCCGACGTTCCGAGGAATGGGTCATTTCGTGGCTTCCAGTACACGGTGGGCAACAGCGTGCAGTATGAGTGCAACAATGGCTACCGGATGGAGGACGGCCAATTCCCCACGGCTGAGTGCCAGGAGGATGGCATGTGGAGCAGCCGTGGGCACCTGCCACAATGCACACGTAAGCCCCCCTGCCCTGCAGTCTTTACGTGGGATTTGAGTTTGTGGGGTCCCTTTTGTCGCCCTCATGAGCATTCGAGGCTAAATGATCATGATGGTTAACGTGTGTTAAGATACAGATACAGTAAATGTAAAGATATAACTAAAGAAACCCAAATATCTAACCATACAGCAGCTTTCGGTGAGTCTCCCGGACATGAGCAGGTTAACAGTGATGGGATTACTGCTTAGGACTGGTCTGAACCCACCCATAAGGTCAGAGATCAGAGGGTGGCTAACACAAACTTTCCTCGCAGCGGTACGGTGCCCCGACATCGAGACGGTTCTCCTGGAGAACATGGTGTGGCGCTTGATTTCCGGGGCCCCTGGCGAGTTCGGCGCCCAGGTCATGCTCAGCTGCTCCCCCGGCTTCTACTTGGAAGGCCAGCGTATCCTCCGCTGTCTGGCCAATGGCTCCTGGAGTGGCCTAGAGGAGAGGTCCACCTGCAGGAGTAAGACAGCTGCCCACCTTTGCCATCCCTCCATCTCTCATACCTCCATTTCTCCTCCCTCCATCACCCATCTCCACATCTGATGGAATGTGAACATGGAGGGTGAAACTGCAAATACTTAACAGCCTGATAACATGCAGATGATTACTTACTGGTCAGGGTTACTGACCAAAGGTGAAGAGAGCAGGAGGCAGTTGTGGCTCACCCAGAATGCCGACCTTCCACAGTAGGGTGGAGCAGGCTGGCTGTCGTCACGGTGACAGGACAGGGCCGCCCCTTGCAGCTTCCACACCCCAAACAAACAAACAGGCCCCGAGTCTCCTGTCGGCTGATTGATGAGCCGGCCTCAACACCCCCAGCCCGGCCCCCTTGCTGTATGAGGAATATATTTGCCCCCCCATCCTCGCCATTCGTCCTTGTTCACTGCCTGCATTTCATCAAAATGGCTGCTGACAGCTCCATCCCCACCAGATCTTGTGAGGGGTGGCTGATCATACCTGCCGCCCTACTGGATCAAACTAGAGTGAATAATGTGGTCCATTCTCAGCTACCACAACCTGACCGTCTTCGGTTATGGTTTGTTTGCACACAGGTTAGGCAAACACTGTAATAAAATTAGAAGCTCTCTCCCCTTAATGATCGAATCAGGGACATCACTCTAATCGCTTTTTGTGTCCACAGTGTGTCTGAATGTCCTCCGGGGGTCCCACTGCCGTTTGCTGCGTCACTGACAGTCATCACCTTTTGCATCCTTCTTTCCCCCTCAGTCATCTCCTGCGGTGACCTGCCCTCACCGCCAAATGGCAACAAGATCGGCACACTGAACACGTTTGGTGCCACGGCCATCTTCACGTGCAACACGGGCTATACACTGGCCGGCTCGCATGTGCGTGAATGTAGCGAGAACGGCCTATGGAGCGGTGTGGAGACCAAGTGCCTTGGTAAGCCGTGCTAAAACCCGCCAGTGTTCTGCCCTGTCTTGCTCTCACTGTACTCCTAGAAAGATGACTTTCTTCTCTTCCTTCCAATGATGGGTGAAGCTGGTGGAGCAGGTTTCCAGTCTGCCATCACGGTTCAGCAGAGTGAATGTTTCATCAGTAAAAAGCCACCCCAAAGTGGCAAAGTGTTCGCGTTTAATAAGTCACTGTTAACTTTAAAGATTCTAGATAAAAGGCCTGACAGGACTTCTCCTCAAAGGAGGATCTTCCCCTCTTTGTCTAACTGACGTCACTAGAAGAGCTTCACCATGCTGAAATCCCGCTAATCGATGCATTTCTCATACAAGCCAAAGCTGGTTGTGTCTCGGAGCCAATATGGGGCACTGGCATTTAGTGCCATTTAGGATGAGAATTGCCTTCTTTATCTGGACTGCGTTTATGTTTGTTACCCTGACAAGTGTGGAAGCAGAAGAAATAGCATTACGTTTAATTGTGGGAGATCTGAAGGCCGTCGTCAGCAGATATGACATTTCGCCCCCCTTTCCTCCTCAGCCGGCCACTGCGGGACCCCGGACCCCATCACCAACGGCCACATCAGTGGCGACGGCTTCAGCTACCGGGACACCGTCGTCTACCAGTGCAACCTGGGCTTCCGGCTCATTGGCACATCCGTCCGCATCTGCCAGCAGGACCATCGCTGGTCAGGGACCGCGCCCGTCTGCGTGCGTAAGTGCGGCCCACCGCTGCCGCACCCACGGGGTCCCCGGGGCACTCTTTAGCCACTCGTTCTCATGCATCTCTCCCCCTGCAGCCATCACATGTGGTCACCCCGGCAACCCTGCAAACGGCCGGACACACGGCTCTGAGTTCAACCTGAACGACTTGGTGAACTTCACATGTAATGTGGGATATACGCTCTACGGCGCCGCTAAGGCGCAGTGCCGCGTCACGGGCCACTGGAGCAGCCCCCTCCCAGCCTGCAGGGGTATGAGCATAACATCCGCCAAACCTGTGCCTCTCACGCAACCCCTGGATGCGGGACTCTGTATGCTCCTGCCATCTTCTCCACATTTTGACATGTAGGTTTGAAACTCAGATGGGTGCAACAACGCTTTACAATATGGCCACATTTTATAATCAGTGTGTCCATGTGGTAGGAAATTTATAGCATTATTTTATTATTAAACATCCTACCATGCTGTAATTTTCTGCCCCCTATCATGGTGGTCTGGACGCTCAGTACAGTAGCAGTGAGTTTTCCAGATTCTTCTCTATCGAGCTGCTATTGACGCTTCTCCACCACTTGTAAACTGGCTCAGACGGAAGGACTAACCTCTGGCCATCACAGGCGTTCTATCCTACAGACTCTCAGTCCTTGGTAGCATGATCCTGCAACCCCAATGGGGACCTGTTTGAGTTCTGATGTTCCAGTTATATCTACTAAGGCAATAAGAGTTTACGTGGTGCTGCTTGCCTCACGACGAGTTTACGTGATGCTGCTTGCCTCACGACGAGTTTACGTGGTGCTGCCTGCCTCACTACGAGTTTACGTGGTGCTGCTTGCCTCACGACGAGTTTATGTGGTGCTGCTCAGTGGTAGTGTCATGGTAGACTTTAGTAAGTGAGGGGGAAATTAAAGTCAGCCATTCCTAGCCACCAGTCATCTCCAAGGGTACACATTGCCGCAGCCCACCGAACCACAGTGGCCAAATATCAATGGTTTGCCAGGAGCAGGTGCTGCTTGTTATTCGGTTTCCTGCTCCATCCCTCATTCCACGTTACCTGGGTTGTTTAATTGTGTGCCAGGGCTCTAGCAGCTGGCGTAGGGGGCAGGCAATCTGTCTCTGATGCCCCGGTATGAGTCCTGGTCTGTTCTGTCGAAGGGCAGTGAGGGAATGGTGAGATTCCACAGGACAGAATCCTGGGGCTCCTCACGACTCCGTCTGTCTACAGGCAACAGGGGATGCGTGCCACCAGCGGGGGCGTTGTGTTAGGGCTGTTAGGTGTCCTTGTTGATCCAGAAGCATCTGGAGGAGTGTGGAGGCAAGAATCTGTATACTTATTCCTGCCATGCCGATCAATCATTCAGAATTTCATCGGGGATTCCCCCTGAGAGCACCCCCATGGTTCCTGTCAGACACAAAGCATGTAGCCGGTTTTATCTTGTAGTGGTGAACTGCTCGGAACCGGGCTTCATGGAGAACGCCATCCGTCAGTCGCAGCAGCGCTACCAGGATGCCTTCAGCTACCCCAGCAGCGTGATGTTCCAGTGCAAACGCGGCTTCCACCTCCTGGGGTCTGCGGTGCTCAGCTGTCAAGCTACCGGCCTGTGGGACCGCTCGCTGCCCAAATGCCTCCGTGAGTGACACGCCGTCCTGTCCGAATCCGTCGCCGTTTTAGCATTGGAAACGGCAAGTCACAGAATGATTGCAGTAGGAGCTGCGAGAGAAAGATAATCCCATTTCAAAGACACATCCTTTTTTGGGAATCTGTAAAACTGTTGTGTTCACAAATTCCTGCTTGCCGTGTTTATTTTTTTGTTCATAAGGACATTAAAGTCACTGCAAAAGGATCTGACAAATGTTTTCGCAAAAAATGACTCTGATATTGGCAATAAAAGGAAGAGCTGACCTCTCATCGACCTTGAGAAGTCCTGCCGGTCATTTTCAGAGTGGAAGGAGGACTAGAGGCTGTAATTGCCTAAATATCTCTCTGCCCTCCAGCCATTTCCTGTGGGGATCCTGGAACACCTCCCAATGCCATCATATCAGGGAAGAGCTTCACCAATGGAGCTGTGGTCTACTACTCGTGTGGGCAGGGCCGAGCACTGATCGGGAACGGCACTCGGCAGTGCCAGGAGGATGGGCGCTGGAGCGGCTCGCTGCCTTACTGCTCAGGTAACTTACAGGCCAGAACCAAGTACAAATAAAAACTGCACCGCTCACGTGGTCTACTGCTAATTCGATGGCCTCGACTGGAAGCACGACTTCAGATTTCAATCCGAGAGGGTTAGCATTTCACGCTCAGTGATTGGGCAATTCGCCGAAGCCCTGCTGCTGTACTGGGGTGTGTTTCCCAAAACATTATTAACGCTACGACATTTGTACATTCTACCTTAAGTTGTCTCTTGACGCTCTGACGTTTTTCCCGAAACGTTCTTAGGTTAGTATATCTTCCGTGAAATGTTCTTTCGTAAGGTTCGTCTGAGCCTCTCTTAGCTGTCTCTTCTCGCATACTGTTCATTTAAAACAAGACTAACATCGTTAAGGGTGCAGTTTCACAACCAAATATCACTTAACTAAAAAATAAATGATCCATATAATAAAATGATTTTATCTGATACATGACTACAATCTTCATTAGGTTTCGTCCTGAATGCGCAGGGAATTCCCCTATTTCCGACACCCCTGGAATGCACATACCTCTCTAAATGTGCTAAAGTCACAGTATATCAATGTTTAGTTCATGAGGTTGATGAGTTGACACTGCAGATTAGTTTAAATATTTGTCTAATATATTTTCCCAAAAAATGTACCCTGGAATGGTCAATACTGTAGTCAATACTGAAGCACATAGGACTTTCAATTCAGTTCAATTCAAATAACTGTATTTGTCCACAAGGGACTTTTCTTTTAGCTATTGTGCCATTGTTCGTCGTTATATGAATGACATGGACACATTGGTGTTTTGTAGAACAAATTAAAATAAAATGTTGATACTACAATCAGGAGCAGTGGGTTTGTGTAGCTGATCTTAATAGTGATATTCTGCACCCATTGTGAGGTGGTGTTCTGTAGCTGTGGGGCATTATTTGAGAGAGGTGCTACCATACAGCTGAATAAGGGCTTTTTGTGCTGTGTCGCTTATGCAGAAACACTCTGAAAGATCCTGTTAAACTGTTTGAGTGAAGTGAGGCACTGTTACCTCCCATCTCCAGGGTTGAGATGCCTTTTGTTTTTGTTTTTCCCTCAGGCACCAGCCCTGGCATCTGCGGCGATCCTGGTGTGCCCCCCCATGGCTCACGGCTAGGGGAGGAATTCCGGCTGAAGAACCTACTGCGGTTTACCTGTGAGGCTGGCTACACCCTTGTCGGCTCGGCCGAGCGGACCTGCCTGCTCAATGGATCCTGGAGTGGGACACAGCCCATGTGTGAAGGTAAGGAGCCCCTCCTGCTCGGGACATACCCCAATCCCCAGGACTGACATCAAACTCCAGAACAGACCCCTAACCCCCAAACCCAGGACAGATCCCAAACCTCCGGACAGACCCCAATCCCAGAGACGGACCCCAAACCCCAGGATGCCCTCTGCTCTCTTAACCCCTGGATGGACCCAGAACCCCAATCCCAGAGACGGACCCCAAACCCTGGGATGCCCCCCACTCTCTTAACCCCTGGATGGACCCTGAACCCCAAACCCCGGGATGGGCTCCAAACCTTGGGACAGACCCCAAACCCCAGAACAGACCCCAAACCCCAGAATACCCCCACTCTCTTAACCCCTGGACAGACCCCGAACTCCAATCCCTGGGACAGACCCCTAATCCAGGCTGGATGAATAAGGAGCCTAAGGCTGCTTTTGATGGGACGATAAGCACCCCATTTTTAGTATTTATCTAAACATTTCAAATTGAAAAATGTGGAGGTGATGCATGGCAGGTTAGGCCTCTGTGCCTGTTATCAGAAGGTCACTGGTTCAAATCTCAGGGTAGTGTCACTTGGATCCTTAACCTGTAATTGCTTCATGGACTGACCTTGGGGCTTGACCCTCGGGGCTAGACCCTACTCTCTCAGCTGCATGTTGTCTGCTAAATAAATAAATGTAAATGTATTGTGCTAGATTATTATTATATAGTGAATCTTAATAAGGTGTTTTCAGCAGAATATTCAAATATTCAGAGAATATTTGCTGTCAGATATGGGGACACACTATGCTTATATATATTTCTTGCTGGAAACAACAAACGTGTGCATCACGTTCCCATGTGGAACAGAACTTTTATGCGATTTCAGAAATGAGGCCATCAGCCACCGCTTGGGGACCTGGGCAGGATTTCCTCGCTTCAGCATCTCTGCAGCTTCTGCCTGTTTTTGTTTTATTTTTGAATTTGATGAATGAGGATTTCTCTCCCTATTCTTATGCGGTTTCTTTCCCGCTATTCCTGACTCTCTGACACAGACGGACCTGTGTTGTGCCTGGGCTGGAGTGACATGCTCCGCTGAGACCCAGTGTCCTGTGAGGGAGGAGGTGCCCAGTGGGGGAAGTAGTGCCGGGCAGGGGAGGAGGTGCTGGGTGTGGGAGGAGGTGCCAGGTGAGGGAGGCGGTCCCGGGGGGGAGGGGGTTGGGTTGGAAGATGCCACGCAGGAGCTGCTGCACCTGCAAATGAAACTGAGTAAATGGACGGACCCTCCCCAGACGAGATGAATGAAATCAGCCAGAGCAGTCAGATGAATCAAACTCCTCTTCGGCAAGCCAAACATCCAGCATGCATCTTAATGAGGAGGAAGCTCTCCCTCTAGTGGATGAAAGAAGCGTCTTATAATGGTGCTTGTGATTCTGATTCCTGTCTCTCTTCTGCCTGACACGGGGTCCCTGATTACCACATTACTCTTTGTTTGCCTTTTTGCCATCCTCCCACTGGATGTTTCCAGTCAAGCTGGTAGGGTACGGACTTTACTAACAGAGATGCAGCTTTTGAGGTAGATGGGCTAAATTAGAGGAGGGACACTGAGTACTTTGTGCTAATTTGTGTCCAGAGAAAACCAGCGCCATCTGCAGGCGGATCCATGTTCTGCATATCTGAAACTTCTGCTGGTATTTGCCAGAAGTTTCTGGCCTTTCTGTGAACCAATCAGATCATGACTAATCCTCAGATGCTTGAAGCTGATGAAATCGCAGGAGGGATGCATGCAGAAGGGCCGATGCATATCAGGCAGCCTTTGGATTTTCCATGGATATGGATCCATTACTGCCTCCTCGCTTCACTCCAGCATCTCCTCCCTGTTTCGTTTTTTCTCCATCCCACTAAAACCCACAGGATGATTAATCACAGTTAAATTCTTAACAGTGTAACAGTAAATGTCAGGTGTGACCTCACAAGCAACTATATATATAACGTCGTTCTAGATATTTCTCCAGGGGGAATTATCTGATTTCCCATATCAGGCCCATGGAATATATTTACTAGTTAAAAAATTCAATAAAATCCAGTTTGGGGTATATGAGAGAGAAACTGCTCCTGAGACCAATAAGGGAGAGTGCTATCAGGCACCAGTGACACAGGAAAGGCAGAGTCGGTGGATGGGTTCTGTTTGCGGATGGGTTCCATTAGTGGATTGGTTCAGGATGGGTTCAGTTGGCGGATGGGTTTGGGATGGGTTCTATTAACAGATGGATTGGGTTCCATTAGTGGATTGGTTCAGGATGGGTTCAGTTGGCGGATGGGTTTGGGATGGGTTCTATTAACAGATGGATTGGGTTCCATTAGTGGATTGGTTCAGGATGGGTTCAGTTGGCGGATGGGTTTGGGATGGGTTCTATTAACAGATGGATTGGGTTCCATTAGTGGATTGGTTCAGGATGAGTTTGGTTAGTAGACAGGTTCGGGATGGGTTCTGTTAGTGGATGGGTTCAGGATCCGCATTCCCCTCCCCCATACCCCCACCCTGGGCATGTCTCCTTCATGATGCCGCTGAATATGATAACGATCATAACGCCCTGTGTTTTATTTGACTATTTTTCCCAGCTGTGCTGTTCTGCTGTTATTCTCCCTGTACACACCACACGCCTGCACACTTATGAATTATGCATGTGTATTAGCTGTTTGTCCACAGCAGCCTTGTAAAGAAATATATCACTTCATTAAAAACATACCCTCCCTTTGCAATAAAGGCTCTGCGGAGAACCTTAACACCTCCACGGACAAGGGTTTGAATCATATGACCTATGCTGCTTGTGACAGGCTCCAGGCACTCCCACAACCCTGACCTGGATGGATGGATGGATGGATGGCGTACATCAAGCAGATAGTTGCATTCAGTATATCCAAACTCATAGGCTCCACACCCCATGTTGTGCAGCATTCATTCATCACTCTCATCAAGCTGGAAATGCTCTCCTCTGGCCATTTTGCTGGGTTCCTTTGTATCAAATTGTATACCAAAATAAATCATTGTCTTTATGGTCCCAGCCATCAATTTATTAATTTTATAATGGCATTTAAAAAATTAGTCTAATTGCTGGCAACGTTCAAGGGCCCTCACTGAAACGAGATTGAGGTGATGCTTAATTAACTTTAAGAATGCACGGGTCGCCATCAGTTCGCCTTCGTTGCATCATCATTAAGCACCAGTCACCTGCAGCATGAACTTGCAGTTTTTTTAATCAGCATCACTATTGTAGGGAGTGAACCCAAAAAAAAGGGAAAATGCCAGGCAATTTCATCTGCCGTCACTAGCAAAGAAAAAAGTGAAATGAATTGCATTAATTTGTCGCAGCTGCGTATTTGCGGCAGGAGGGGATTGCTGAGAAAGGCTTCCATGTATGCCAAGCGCGGCCCTCGATTAGCATTATGAATCTGCACCTTGCCATTCTGAGTGTGTAACCAGTTTCTTTCCTTGCAGCTGTTTTGTGTTTTTCTGGGCACAGCTCTGTCACATCAGTGCGACAGATGCTGCGGAGAATCGTAGCTTACTGAAATATTTAGGGAATAATGAGTGTTTACGTGAAAATCAGCCATCCCGGCCAATTCTGACCCCCTCGGAGATCTCCTGCAGGATGTCTCTCATTGAACCTTCTTGGGAATCTCTACTGGGCCGTCGGTGTTTGTGAGGGAAGTTCTCGCAAAACCCTTTAAAAATGGCAGGACTGATGGCACAAACACTTCAAGAAAATCCCCTTTTTCCTCCCAATGGAGAATGTGTCCATTTTTATGTCGCCAGTATCGCCAGTATGCAATGACCAATAAAGCATTTATGAATATATAATAAAATACTTACATCACATAACATAAATTGCAAGCTATCAATCTCATGCTAGCTTGTATTAAGCAAAGAAAATGGAAACTGGTTTTCAGGGAAGCTTACAGCACCCATTTTTGGCTATCTGAATTGTGATTGGCTGCCTGTGATCCTCCCCCCAGCCGTATCATGTGGAAACCCGGGAACACCGGCCTTCGGGAAGATTGTCCTCAGCGATGGCATCCTCTTCTCTAGCTCGGTGACATACGCCTGCTGGGAGGGCTACAGGACCACTGGCTTGACCACCCGCCACTGCACTGCCAACGGCACCTGGACTGGCTCCCCCCCAGACTGCACTGGTGAGAATGGCCCAGCCTAGCCTGTGGCAGGGTGTCACCAGGATGATGTCTACAGAAGGCTCTGGTAGATATGTGTGAAACAAGAGTGGAACATACAAGCTGGACCTCAGCATTACCGCTCTTCTAACTGAAGCCTATCCTGGGGTAAAACAGATCTACTATACTAGGCATGGAATATCTATGTGAACTGTGAGGCTATATGATTGGTAGAGTAACTGAAATTGATAATTTGGGTCTTACCAGGCGTCCTCTATGCATGTAATGGCAGGGACCATTTGCTAAATGATGCTAAGCGCTAAAACCGGGGTTTGGCATCTGGGTTGCAGTGATCAGCTGTAGCGATCCCGGCAGCATTGCCAATGGCTTCTACATTGGCAACGAGTTCACCTTCAACAAGACAGTGCAGTACCACTGCAACCCGGGGTTCCTGTTGGAGCATGATGGGCCCCCTAGCCTGCGGTGCACCCAGGACGGCAGCTGGAACCAGAGTCGGCCCAGCTGCAGGGGTGAGCGCGTCTCCTCCCGGGCGGGTTGGGCGCCAGTGCGGCAGCGGCGTAAAAGGCCAGAGCCATCACCGAGTCTGGCCGATTTTGGCATGAATAAATGATCTTTAAAAAAGTGAAGCATCAGCAGTGTGGAGGGTGGACCGAAGCTGTAGAGCGGAGATTAGGGGGGTGACACTAACAATTATCACACGTAAATATACACACATATGCTCCCGTTGTACATGAGGTGTTGATGATGTGCTGTAAGTACACACCATCAACAAGGCGCTTGTATTCTCACTGATTGGTGCTGATTTATGTAGACATGTCACGTCACGTAGCAGGAAATGGTTTTTACTTGAACGTGCAGACAATGTAACATGAATGCCCGTATGTGATTAATGAGGGTGAGATACGCTCTAATCACCTATAAATCATGTAAATCCCAAACAAGATAAACAGAGATTCTGTTTCCATGGTGATTGACAGCAGAACCAATCAGCTACCTCTGATCTCTGCAGGGTCCGTTCTCGTGTGATATTTTCCTCCTTACCCCACCCCCCCCTACAGAGGTGACTTCTGCAGCTGACTAGTCTGTCCTGTCCCCCCCGCCAGCAATTGTCTGCAGCCAGCCCCCAGCCATCTCCCATGGGCAGGTGGAGGGCTCTGAGCTTCACTGGGGCTCCAGCAAGGCCTACAGCTGCTTGGAGGGCTACCAGCTGTCTGCACCTGGCATCCTCACATGCGAGGGCAATGGCAGCTGGCGCGGTGACGTCCCCCAGTGCCTGCGTGAGTACCCCACCCCTCGCTCTTACATTTAGGTAGATGGCTATCCCCCTAAGGAGCATCGGCATCCACCGGAGGCAGGGTTCCCCTTCCCTGTGAGCAGAGAGGTCGTTGAGTCTATCTAAGCGTGATGTTAGAAGTCTTCCTTCCAAATTGAAAAGCCAGGCCTGGCTGGGTCCACGAAAATCACTCCAAACAGCTGGCAGTGTCACTGAAGTGATCCGTCAGGAGTGCACAGGGGTGCTGTGGCGAGCCTCTGACGTCATACCCGGGGAGATCCTACCATGCTAGGTCCCATCACGCATTTGGGGACCTCCCAGCTACCTAACACATGACGCATGCTCTGATTCGCTGTCAGCTGAAGGGGGTGGGGATTTAAAAAGTGTCCTCATTAAAATGAATAAGATAAGCGAGGGGTCGGCTTGCTGTTCTCAAACTGAACATGACATCCATTGTGGTCCTGATTAAATTAAAGAAAGATCTTCTCCGTCATTACACTGTATGCTTCAAGCATTTTTAAGGCAAATATTTAGATAAGATTTAATTATAGACAATTAGTTAATTAAAAGTTAATTTTCAAGACACTGGAATTGCTCTACTGTTGTGGCAGCAAACGCAGTTCAGAATTATGACGTCACACGTTACAAGGTCCAGTCAGGTGTATATGTATGTGATGATCCATGCTCCGGGGTGGCTTTGGTGCATCACAGCTTTTCGGGCAGTTCTGTGGAGAGCCGCCATCCCTCCGACATTGCGATCTTTCCTGAGCAGCTGTGCTGTGTGGAGACCCCGGCTCACCAGCGGAGGGTCATGCCGAGGGGAGGCAGTTCACCTACGGCTCGGAGGTCACCTTCCACTGCCGCCCTCCCTACCTGCTGGTTGGCTCCCCCAGGCGAACGTGTCAATCCGACGGGACCTGGAGCGGCGTCCAGCCCTCCTGCATAGGCAAGTCTGCTCTCGGCAAAGCCCCATTTCAGGCAACTCATAAATAAAGCCCCCCTTCCCTGATAGTGGATTCCATTGAAGAAAGACTGGAGCCTCTGCTCTTTGGGAGAATCCATGAGGGATGTTGGGTGTGCAAAGCGGAGTGAGCTCTTCGTACCCTTAAAGGCTGTACGTAACACCCTGCACTCCGCTTCCTCAGATCCCGCATACAACGTCTGCAGAGACCCAGGAACACCAGCTTTTGGGATTCCTATCCAGGCCCACGGATTCGAGGTAGATGTTAAAATTCAAGCCGTGATTTGAGTGTAACACTTGAACCTCCATTTTGCACGCTGTTGGACATCAATCCCTATTAACTGCCAAGCAAAGACGTGAAACAGTGCATGTAGCCCTGTTCATGTTCCATTAGTGTTAATAATAGCAGTGAATCTCAACCAGGTGAGACAAAGGGCAACTCATCTGGATCTGGAGAACCACAAAAAGTTGCTCACTACCGATAAAGGTTTCAAATAGAAATTTGTTGCCCAATATCAATAGAAAGTTGCAACATTGCCCGGCAACAGCCCAAACCAAAAAGTTGTGATGTTCTTTATAGAGTGGGTACTCTTTCGGGACAATCAGAAAAGCTTTTTATAAAATGTTGTATAGATGTTTGGTTTCGAAATAGTTTTTACAATGATTTTTACGTATTTATTTCAGTGAAATTACGTGTATTGTGTCCTGTATTGAATTAGGGACGTTGATATTCATCAAAGAATTTGCTTTTTATCATCGCAGCTGAAACAATTTTAAAAAATGTACGTTTTTCTTTTAAATTAATTGTATTAACGCACTCAAATATTACATAAAACCCACTGCAATAAACACAAAGCAAAACAATGCACACAGCCACTACTCACAGTTCATACACGTCTTTGGTAGCTTTTGTGAACAACTCCCGCACACATACCGACGGCTTTTTACACAGGTGCCTTTAATTTTATTTTGAGTACATTTGCCAACTTTGCACTGAGTTGTTTTCCCCAGCGGTAGATGAAGAATACAAAGCGAAACTCAACATACCATGTAGACATATATGTATTATGGGTTTTTTTGGGGGGGGGGGTGAGGATTTCCCCATTGTTTTCTTGATGGGTGAAAGGTATGCTAACATAAAGGCCCATTAGCGAAAACAGAAGGTGTGATATGCCAAGGTACGTCGCTGCTGGTTAAAGGAGGTTTTAGTTTTAAATGAGTAGGTGCTGGAAGGCCTTGGATGAACATGTTCAGAACGGAACCATCAGAATGGAACCATCAGAATGGAACTATCAGAATGGAATCACGAACTGTCACATTTATACATTGCGTCCTTTTGTTTCTTTGCAGGTCGGAAGTAAAATTTTCTTTAAATGTAGGAAAAACTACCACATATTAGGATCGACAACGCGGATGTGCCTGGAGGACCTGACCTGGAGCGGGACGCAGCCTGAGTGCATCCGTAAGGCGCTCACCGTCGGAGCCTCAGAAGGCCTTCGTCTTATTGTTCTACCGCATTTTGAAGCAGTCGCCATTTCTCACAGGCTTGGGTCCTGCTGCAGCACCCTAATGAAATACATTCCTAGCAAATGGGTCTTCGGGCCATGCTGGTCACTGTACTCCAATGCTGTTCCTGTTGGGGGTAGCCTGAAGAATATGGGCTTCAGTTTCAAGAGCAGATTATATGGTTGTGCTGGAGGCAGGGATGGGTGGGGGAGGGTGATCCATACAAGGACAAAGGAATGGGGGCCCAAAGTTTAGCTGAGTTGCTCTCAACTATCAGCATGACACGGGGGGGCAGCACTGTCACATGTGCAGCTCTCCATAGAAAGGTCCGGGTGGTGTTGTGTGTGTGTGTGTGTGTGTGTGGGGGGGGAGGGGGTTGTTGGTGATGACCGGCCCCATTCAATAACTATCAGAGCAATCAGAAGAGGTACCTGTGCCCCACCACCTTGACACAGCTGCCCCCCTGCCCCCCTACAGCTCACGCCTGCAGGCAGTTGGAGACGCCGGCTCACTGCGATGTGCGTGCCCTGGACCTGCCTACACTGGGCTACACACTGATGTACACCTGCCAGGCTGGCTTCTTCCTGGCCGGCGGCTCTGAGCATCGCACCTGCAAGGCGGACGGGAGGTGGTCCGGAAAGCCACCCATCTGCAAAGGTATGCGCACCGCCGAGTACATCCAGAACACTCCGGAAAGGCACCTGCAGTTATTCCCATCTGTCTACGGGGGCTCCGACACACACTGAGTGTTTTGGCCGAAGCTAGATGGGATTTTTCAGCTGTTCTAGATCAGGCATGTAAGCTACCCCCCCCCCGCAGTTGCCCCTCCAGCATGCTAGTGGTGGCTTCCAGCTCCAGTTGGCTTCAGCTGCCAGGCCTTCATCCCACGTGGCCGGCATTTAATTGGCACCTTTCTGCCAATCCGTGTTGGGGAGGGCTGGGATTATGGTTCCTTCATTTTTGTGTTGGGTAACTTACCTGCAGCCCATAGGTACACAGCTCACCAGTGTCTAGGTCAGGCTTGATTTGTCTGCTGTTCAGTTATGCACCCTGCGTTTCAGTTGGTCTGAAAATAAACGACAAAAAGGAAGACACAGATGACCAGAAAAACAAAATCCGAGGTACGTGAAAGTCTCTGAAAATCAGCACCCCTTAAACCCTTAAGATTTCAGGATCTTCAGTCATATAAAGGACCCAGAACTTACTGGCTCTCTGCAGCATGATGAGTAAAGACAAGCATATCCATATAAAGCAGATCATCTTCAAACAAAGCCGTGAAATGTACTCAAATATTAGAGACAGTGACCCAGAGATGGTCATGTGATCCGATCGTCATGTTTTGGCCTTCAGTTCCCGCCGATGTGTTCTCTTTAAATTCTGGCTGGACTGGCTTCTACGAGTACCTGGGCAAGAGGCAACCAGCCACCATCACTGTAAACGGCTTCAACGTAACAACCAGCAAAGTGAACGTCACTCTGCTGGAGCACAGCGGCGTGCAGATCAAGCTGTCAGGTGAAGTAGCCTCACCCCCAACGGACCTGCCTCTGGCCTCTGCCTCTGGCGGCCTCGCCCAGCCACTGCGTCACCCTCCTGCCCATTTTCCACAGCCAAACAAACCATTAGTGAGGGGCTTCTTTAGTCTGGAAGGAGTAAACACGGCACCATTACCATCATAAATATTGTATAATATATTCTAATATATTACACGTTGCTACTCTGTGTATAACTATTTTTTTAAGAAGTGTAAGGCAGAAATTTACATGTTTTTTCAGTTTTTTAATTTATGACGTTTGTTGTGACTTTTAATGACATATACATGCATTTTTATTTTCCATAGGCACATATAAAAAAGAAGAGAATCATTTACTCCTGAAGGTGTACAATGTCCGAGGGCCCATGGAGCTTTATTTCAGTAAATTTAAAAATGACAACTGGGCAATGGATGGATTTGTAAGTATTTCACATTTTGTTTTATACTGCAAGCTGATAAAAACTATTATCACTAAAAATAATTTAGCTACAGGTACGTAGTTTAGAAAATGCTATATCAGGTAAAAAATGATTGAGATGATTTAATGTCATGAGCAACAAAGTCTTTCTGTCAGAGCCATTTTAGTTGTTCAGGGGGGATTAATCATTAATCTTTTATCTTCTGTTCACCTCCAGGTGACGGCGGAAACTGACAAAAATAGCTACGTGTACCAGGGTTATATTCACAGCAAAGATTTTGGGAAATTTCAGCTGAAAAGACAAGGTATTTTTATGGAAAACAGAAATAACAGCTATTAGAAACATTTTCATTGTTTTTATATTCATCATAGTTTGATTTAGCAATCAGGTAGAGCGATCATGGCCAAAGT